AGACGGTTGGGATTGAACCAGCGTCCACCACTTATCATATCATCGCTCGTGTCGAAATGCATTGTGGGTTATCCAAGTGACTGTAGTGTCCCGTGTTCGCACACTAAAATGTTTTGACAAAAATAATGGGCCATCCAGGTACTTTCAGCATCCCCTTTTCTTCTTGCATACTATATGTAGATATAATTTCTGACAGGCTACATACTATTCTCGGCTACTATTTAGTATTCAAATAATAATAAAAACATTTTTTTTAAAAAGCTAATGGGATTAAGGTTACCTCGATGTTGCCACACTCAAGAGCCAGGCTGAAGCGGGTCTTCTCGTCCTTGACGAAGTGGAGAGCCACCTCGGGGTAGCCCTTCTTTTGCAGGTAGGCAATGATGGACTGGCCCACCAACTTGGCATTACGCACCATGTGGAGCACCTGGCAGGGTCAACAAGGGGTCAAGATGGATGGAATGTAGGGCTGGGCAATAATTTGTTTATTGTCTTTCGTTGCAAACATGAAATTAAGATATCGATTGATACCCAGTATTATATTCTTAATGTTTAAATTATCAAAATATGAGGTTTTGAAAAGAAAACTAGTTTTAATCTGATACCATGCTTCAAATGTCCATATACTACAATGTAATGACCCTAAGCTAGACTGCTTATAATGTATTCTGAATTCATGCATATAGTGAAATATATTGATATTGTGTAAAATTCCCCATGATAATCGTGATAATAAACGCCCAGCCCTATTGGAACAGGTTGGCCTTGAAGTGATTCTTGGTGCGTGTTGTTTGTGAGAAATGGGAGAAAACCAACCCCACCCACACCCACACCCACCCTACAATTACTGCAGACATTCGACACCAGATCTAAAAAGGCCACTGCACTGGGTTTTAATCCTTCCTTAAACTTTAGTTTTTTTCTCAACACTAAATGATGGAGCATACTTTTTTTTAATGTATGGTACAGAATTGGTTGACACATTAACATAAAACATTAACGTTAATATCTGTGACGATGCCTCCACCCAGACACTAGGTGTCCCTGTTTCTTTTGAGTTGTGTTTTACAGGTGCTGAGTGGAGGGTCGTCAGCTGCATGAGTAACACCTGGGCCAGTGTGCTCTGCCTATAAAGACCTTCATTCTGCGAAAGCTCGCTGGCGGGGAACTGATTCCTGCTCACCGGCAGGCCTGATGGCAGCACTTTCTCTTTGTTTATTTTGATCTGCACATACATTATCACGCATCCATACATGCATTCATGACTGATACTGATCTCTACACGTTTGCCTTGTTTGATTTATGAAATAAATACCGCTTCCTAGTAGCCCGCTCGTGTTTGTTCTCCCTACTTTGTCAGAGCCTTGGAGCCGGGTTGTGACATAACTGACCCTTTTCCCGAAGAGGATACGGAAAGATGTGTTTATCTGATATGCCCACCCACCTCTTCATATTTGCGGTTGACCAGAGCCAGCTTGAAGCGGTACTCGGTGGGGTCGATTGTGAGCACGCGGGGACGGCACTCCCGGTCCAGGCAGTAGACGCTGTTGCCCCGGACGCGCGTCACGTAGATGGGCAGGTCCAGGGTCCGGATGATGCCATGGTCGCTGTGGAGGGAGGGAGAGAGAGGGCCATTTAGATTCCGATGTCTAATAATAATAATGCACCTCGCGGAGGCAAACCCCCCTCCGTGAAGCCCCCACGGCGTGCATTACTTTTCCGATAACCGCACACCTCGTTGTGGATTATCCCTTACATAAACCCCTTCAGGGTAATTCAGGCATCACCTGCGTCACCTTGTCTGGGTTCATTTCACAATAATGAACAGCTCGCTGTACATTATCCCTTACTTAAAGTAATAATCTCAAAGATTTTCAAGTACATAAATGTCTGTTAAGTCACTATTTATCACCAATTGAGGTAACACAATGGTGATTGAGCCTATGGCCACCTGATGAAAGCCCTTGCATTTGCAGTATTATGAATGTTAACAACTGGGTATCAGTGGTGACTTTCCTGCGGAAAAAAAATCACCAGTGGCACACAGGTAGTGACGTGTTTTCCATCACCCAGCAGTGGTAGTTCCCCTAGAGAGGGTAGACGGAGCTACTGTGCGTGAAGTGGCATACTGATTTTTCTGGTCTCTGCTAGCGTTGCGAGTCAATGGTTACTATATGGCCGAACAAACAAAGAAAATAACAATGAGTACAGACATTTAGTTTTCATGTGTACTGGTGTTGTTATGGAGGCGTGGCAAAGGGGCCAACTGCCTGAGGTCACACAGGCACACAGGTTTAGATCTCTGGGAAGCCACAGAAGTGAGGTCCAAACACACCTGCAATTACCACTTATGCCCATAGGTGTCGCCAAAGGGAATGAAATGGAAATCTTTGAGATTGAAAACAAAAACAAAAGGTGAGTGTGTGTGTGGCTGGTGGCATACCCGGAGGTGAGGGCGTATTTGATGTGGTTGGAGGTGGTGTAGATGAACACTCCGCTCTCGTCCCAGGCGCCGCTCTTCACACGGATGTTCTCGTGGATGTTGCACAGGCTCTCCAGCTTGCGGTTGCAGATCATGATGGCTGAACGAGGAGGGAGCAGAAAGAGAAGAGAATGAGAGAAGGTTTTTTTCCCGTGGCCTCTATGACAATAAAAAAGGAAAAATCTGAATTTGATGATGATTAAATTTGTTATTTATTTACCATTATTATTTTGTTTGTTTTTTGACTATGACTTGAGGGTTGTGACATTTCAGTAATGAGCACAAAAAAAGTGCCGATCTAGTCATCAACACATCAACCGTCAACCAATTGAAGTTCAATAACTTTTCACACATTTTCGCCAGACAAACTAAAGGACATCTTTCCTGGACATTTGAAAATGTAGTTTTCCAAAATGAAAAGATCGATGAAGTCCTACTGCCTCAATGTCTTTGTGTGCCACTACATGTGTTGGACTTTACCGTGCTTGGCCAGCAGGGCCACGTGGCTGGTGTCGGCGCTCCACACCACGTACTTGACCTTGGCGATCTTCACGGTGGCCAGCGAGCGCTTCTGCTGCACGTCGAACAGCGTGACGCCGTCTGCGTCGCGCAACAGCAGGGAGCCGGTGCCGGCGTAGAAGATCTCCTCACAGCTGGGCACCTGCACCTTCTTCACTATCTCGTTCTTCAGGTTCTTGATCAGCAGCTGGGGGGAGGAAACGCCACAGGAACGAACATCCATCCATGGGGGTCAACATTTTTTAACTAGTGATAATTACAACATTGAAAAGCTTTTTAAATATAACATGAAAACTGTGATCAACAAAAAATGCCTTAATGTGCCGCCATCTGCAATATATATACAGTATATGTGCTACAGAGCGTGTTTAATTTAATAACTTAATAACATTCAATTTTACACAATCAGAAAACAACAAAAAGTAAAAAGAATGATGCCATCATTCATGAGTGAAAGTGGCGAGTTGACATTTGCGCAAATAATTTCCACCCTTAAAAGTGGGTTTCACTCGCAAAACGGTTAAGAACCACTGGAATAGAAGAACAATTTCCAATTTTATACATACATACATGGGTCGTGAAACACCAACACTAAAATGAATTATCGCCAATCCATCCACCACTGAACATCACTATATAATTTAGAACATATGGTCTTGCAAAACAGGCCGTACCGAGTGCATGCGATCTAGGACTGCAAATCTGTTCCTGGCTACCCACACAGCCGTCAGCCCAGAGGACCTCTTCCCTTCTGGGGCTGGAGAGAGACCAAACTCAGTGATGAGCTGAACACAACAGACATTAAACTTGAATACAATATGTATGAATGAAGCAGCAGGTTTTGTTTTTTCATGGTGCATTAGTACCATCAGGGTTCTGGGAGTCACTCTCTTTGGGAATGGAGTACAGGTCATAGGTGCTGTTCTCCAGGTTGGTCGCCCTCTGTAGGACAGAAGAGGTATGAAACGGAAATACAAGCAAAACCGTTTCTCAAAAGTGTGTGTGTGTGTGTGTGTGTGTGTGTGTGTGTGTGTGTGTGTGTGTGTGTGTGTGTGTGTGTGTGTGTGTGTGTGTGTGTGTGTGTGTGTGTGTGTGTGTGTGTGTGTGTGTGTGTGTGTGTGTGTGTGTGTGTGTGTGTGTGTGTACGCGCTTACAGTGCAGAGCAGGACTGCGTTCTCGGCGGGGTTGTAGGACATGCTGAACACTGGGAACTTGGACCCACTAGAGAAGAGAACATTGACTTTGCTCAGACTTAACCATTGTAGAGCAATCCCTGGCTTATTTACACAAATTTTAAAAAATCCATTATTAGATATATGGACTATTTGCATTCAATGCATTTTGCATTATGTTTTGTATTGAATACAATCAAAGGTTAGTTTGGAATGTCTTAGTTTAATTCATAAAATGAGAATTATGCAATTTATTCGTCATGTCAAACATTTTTTATACGTTAAGTTACGATCTGTACAAGAGGTTGATAGGTCGGAGTCCAATTTTCTAGGTTTTTTCTACTCTTACACTAGACACTTTATACTACTACACACTTTAATAATACTAATACTACACACTTTATACTAGCTCCCGGTCCGAGAAATATGAATACAAAATGTAAATAACTCAGTCCAGTCGCCTTATGCCCACCACACACACCTGCGCAGCTGCATGACAGCGGTGTCCTTGCTGCTGTTGAAGTCCAGCTGGCGGAGGAAGCGGTCCTTGACGTAGTACAGCATGTTACCGTAGACGGCGTAGGCTGGCCGCTCCCGCTCCAGTTTAAACACCAGCATGCCGCTATCATGACCTGGGGGGGGGGGGGGTCAGGTAGCTGTCATGTCAAAATGTGGATGATTAAAAACTTAACTTAACTAAAGGTAACTTATTAGGTCCCTGCTGGAATTTGATTGGACCATAATCGGCTTCCTGATTTTTAAGTCATTTGGTGGAAGCTTTTTTCCAAAGTGCCTTACAATACCGTACAATACGTTTTTAGCATGGGTGGTCCCAGTGGGAATCAAACCCCTCGGCTACGTTAATGCCATGCTCTACCAGTTGAGCTAGTCAGGACCACACATACGTTCTAACATAAGTTCTATCCATGATCTGAAATGTGAAGAAAATAATAAATCATAAAAAAAACAATTGCTTCATCGTCTTCAACCATCCCGCTTACCGGCGGCGAAGAGGTTGAGGTTGGGGTGTGCGCCCAGCACCCAGAAGCGGTCGTGGTCGCGGCGAAAGGTCTGGACGCCCGTCCTCTTGGACATGTCCCACACACGGATGCTCTTGTCCTCCGAGTTGGACAGGATGAGCTCCTGGCGTGGGTGGAAGACGGCGCACGACACGTTGTTGTAGTGGCCGCGGCACGTGTCCAGCTCCCACGCCTTGGACTCTGCACATTAGAACCACAGTTATATATTTTAATACACAGCTTTGTTGAATACTCGATTCTGATTGGTCAATTACGGCATTCTACCTTTTGCTATGAATGACAGACCGTTGCTATGGACGCTATTTCAAACCATAAAATCTAACAGACTATTAATTTTTTAGCAGAAGCAATAAAATCTATTCGTATATCTATTAATTATTTAAATATATTTTTCTTTTTTATATTTTGTGTCAAATTATGAATTTCTTTAGTAAGTAGCCGTGTAATAGGCAGGAGCGTCGCGGTCCTGCATCACCCAGTCAGGGTTTATTTTGCATAATGACCGGCTCCTTAAACAATAGATTTCCATGTAAACCCATCCACCTTAATTTCATTTTAATTGGCCACTGGTTTTCGTGCACATGTAAACATGATGCCTACATTGGGATGGGAGGAATGAGAGGCACATCAATCATTCATTTTTTTACTGGGGTTTGAAAAGGATATTGCTAATCAACACTAGATACAGACTCGCATGTACATTCTGACTGGAGGAATAACACGGGAACATTTAACATTTGCTTTCATTTAACATTCATTCAGAGTAAAATCGTGTGGAATACCTCAACAACATCTAGACTTAAGTGTTATTTCTAACAACTGCATCCATCTATGTATTGGGAGTAAAATTGTAATAAAAGGCTATGCAGCCCTATTACTACTACATAATTGCAAGGCTGTGATACTAAATTGTGGAAACAGCTTAGAATAAAGGCACTAGAGGAAAAACATGACCATGAAACAAACATGATATGGTATTTAATCCATGTAATAACGTTAGTGGGAGGAGAATGACTTAGCAACTGGTCTATACATCTTAATTAATTGAGTGGTCCGCAATACAAAAGCTATTAAGTGACCGATAATCTAATATACACACGCTAATATGCATGTTATTGTATATCAAATGTCAAAAAAGGAGTGTTTTCTATTAACAAATACAATACCAGACAACAACAATACAAGTAATTGTTTTGGCTTCATTTGGCTTTTAAAAGCATCGCATGCATTGGTTACATCCCCAGTTAGTCAATTCTCTGCCATCCCCAAGACAGAGAGACAGAGACGTGTTGCTAGACAGAGAGATATAGAGAGACATGTTGCTAGACAGAGACGACCAGGCACTCACCATTCATCCTCCAGATCTTGACCTGCCTGTCGTCAGCCCCAGACACAATGAGGGGCATGGTGGGGTGGAAGGCTGCCCAGTTGACCCCACGGTCATGACCCTACACACACACACACACACACACACACACACACACACACACACACACACACACACACACACACACACACACACACACACACACACACACACACACACACACACACACACACACACACACACACTTTTGAGTAGTGCATACTTAATTAGTAGTCATTTGGAAATGACTAGGGAATACCCAACTGTTTACTTTCCATTTAAATACATAACTTGTAATTCGCAATATTATTTTAATGGTTTTACATGCTTTGAGAATCATAAACTCATCAATAAAGTAGAGTAGGGATCAGACTGTACCATTTAGAGAAACCTATACAGAGTTTGCTGCCATGTTAATGTTAAAAACCCATCTAAAACGATCACACCATTGGATGATTGTCGAACTATACTTTATCCTTAAAGTATAGATCCAGTCCAGTTGTACTTTCTACTGAATCTCACAAGCCATATAACGGGTTCTGCAACAACAACCCCAACACCTAGAGCTACTGTCATCCCGTCCTCTTGACCAAACCCCAACTCACCTCCAGGACGTGCTTGACCACCGCATCTGAGGCACCAAACAGGTCCACGCCGGAGATCCCGCGCACGTCGTTCTCCACCGCGCCAGGCGAGAGGTTCTTCTTCCTCAGACCTGGCGTGAGCAACGACCACCGCGAAAAAAAAAAATGGCGTGCAAGGGCAGTTTGGGGTGGGTTGACAACATAGGCGTTATATGACGGGACCACCATGGCGGTGGTGGAGGAGGAGGGGGAGGTGGGGAACAGAGAAACTTGGTTAGCAATCAAAACACAACGAGTAACAGGAGGTAGTGTGCACTTTCCACATGAACCACGACAGTCACTGGGACTAACTGAACACACACACATAGGGCTCAGGAAACATCATCACAAACTGTCAATCCCCCTTCTCTCTGTGGTTCAACTGAAGTGTGTTAACAGGGATAAGTGTGTTATCCAGGAACTGGATTTGGTTATTGTACAACAGTGTCAGCGTCATCTTTGAACCTTCATTACAAGAAACTGAGTAAAATAAAGACAAAATACATCTATTTGAAATCTCTCCCTGCTCAATATTACTAACATATATTAATGCATTCTTTTCATATGTGAAGAATAGTTCAAACTATAACCTAGAATAATTTGACTTTGAATATCAATAGTAAAAAAAGGGGAATACTGCACATTCCTGATTATTATGACAATGTAGACAGTGTTTGGTTTGGAATAATAAATCAACTACTCACAGGAGGGGGTACAAGCTTTTCATTGGCTGATGTGTGTTTAACAATGAACCAACCAATGGAAGTTAAAAGGCTCACAATGGAGACGGCACAGACAGATTAAGGAAAACTTGTAAGAAGGTATGTGTTGACCATTCCTGCCCCGTATGAATCACAGTGGTGGTGGTGGTGGTCAGTTAGTCACAACAGCATTGAGACGCCTCATGGGAAATAAAACAATGTTCATAGAAATCTGCAGCACTAGGAACCCGTATGCAGGTGCGGATGTTTCCAGGGGAGCATGAGAAAGGGGTGGACACAGGAAGGTAGGTGGTGAATGGGCCTGGGTGGGATGGGAGTGGGTGGCAGCTGGGGGTTGTAAAGAGGTGCTCTGAATGGGGCGTTGGTGGAATTGTTGTTGTTGTTTTGAAAGGGATGAAATGGACCAAGGCTCCATGCTCTGCGTTAGAATGCTAGAGACTCACAAAGGCATGGCTGCTAATGCAATATTTACATCATGCATCAGTGTTAATTAGCTCTTTTACTAGATATATATTATTATAACCTGTTGAGCATTAGTTATTATAAATATTGTTACATCTGTTCATAAATAGCATACTTAGCCATGCAATTATCATGCTACTGGTAGTATGAGTATGAGATACGTCAATGCTATGAGATTGCAAGACGTATATAAGAGCAAACAAACTGGCATTGTTACTTCCTTATCCCATGTATGTAGATGATGCAGATAGTGAGGGTATTAAATAGTTCATAACACATTAGCCATCTGTAATATGCATGCAAAATAAAATGCTGTAGTGTTTTGTGTTATTTGGGATTGATGTGAATGACACTAGGTACACAGGGACATGCGGTCATGGTAGAGGATAGAACAGTTCAACTGAGTCCCGTGGAAGAGGGACAGCAGAACTTTGGAAGGCATGATGTGCATGTGAAGAAGAGTAGGGAGGAAGTGCAAGATCAGTGAATGGGTTAACAAGAATTAATTGGATAGGCAAACATTTGTCAACAGACAGATCTTAACATATATTAAAAGGCATGCAAAACACTCAACAAAAAAAACACCTCTCGCATTGACTAACTGAAGGTTTGGTTACATTTTACATAAGAAATGTCACATTTCATACATAAAATTGCTAGTCACCAAAATCGACATTGTGTCTTCATTTGACACTCACACTGCAAATTTAGCCAAGCGTGAAATTTAGGTCAATTTTTCTGCCGCCAAAAAAAGAGGTGTTCTTTTGCCAACAGCCCACAGAGATATATTCTCTACACACAAAGGAGGAGAGAAAGAGGATCAGGAACAGATTCTGTTCTGACATCTTTCTCCCCATCCATAACCCCTGATGCCCTGCCCTGCCCACCCTGCCCCCTCCCACTATCCTCTGCCCCGCCTCTAAACCCCGCCCCTCACCGGAGATATCCCACACGCGCACAGTCTGGTCCAGGCTGGCTGACACCACCAGGTCCTCAGAGGGGTGGAACTGTGCGCACATCACATAGTGGTTGTGTCCGGTGAGCACACTGGAAGAGAAGGGCAATTCATATGAAAAATTATGAAGAATTATAACATTCTTCAATTATATATGTTGATAAAGACATGCAAAGTCTTCCTATACAAGTCTCTGAATGCATTTTCCTTCATCCCACTATTGCTGTGCTCACTAATTAATCTGCACATCTTGATTCTTAACAACATACTTCAAAGTTTTTCTTCATCCCCAATCAAATAGCCAAACATAACAATGTTATATTAGTGCTCAATAGTATTGTTTGTATAAAAAAAAAATGAAAGATTGACACAAGTATGAGTTAGACTTCTGGCTAGACTAGACTGGTCCAAAGGCAGATTCAAACCAGGGTCAAAGCAGGGTGCTGCTTTGGGTGTGTAGAATTCAACATTATATTTTTTAGTTAGCAATCATGTTAGTGAAACACCTGCATTAAGCTGTGCATCAGGAATCTTGGTAATAACAAAAACGTGTAAAAATTATGTCTTATACTTGAATCCCATTTTGGTCAATACGCTGCCTGCATATTTTTCTTCTTACCAGACACAGGTCCTGGACTGCCAGTTCCAGATGCGAATGGTCTGGTCATCTGAAGCACTCAGAATCCAGGGATACTCCTGCACTCATGAGAAGCAAGCCAACCATTAACG